TTAGATTTTAGATCTTAATTTGTTCATCTCAATATTCTGGAAATTTTCTATGGTTTCAAGTTTTTTAATGGCTGGTCAACTATAACACCGGGTACCCGGTTCTAGAACCGGTACCCACCGTTTCCGGTTCCGGGTCTAAAATTTTGGGACCCGGTTGATACCGGTTCCGGGACCAGTTGCAAAATCTTAGACCCGGTACTAACCGGTTCCGGGACTGGGTCCTTAGTTTTTGACCGGGTACCCGGTTTTGCTCACCCCTACTCACGTCTATCTGGGCAACGGAGTGCGGGTGGTCGGGGCTTGTGACGGCCGATACTTCAAAGCGGGCACAAGCGGGTCCGAACCACGAGTCCTTAGCACATCAAGTTGGGTTGGAGGGGAGCTAATATGTAAGTAAGACACAATATCTATAAAGGTCTAGCAACAAACAAGCATAAAAGCAAGGCAACACTTGGTAGAAGGCTTTAAGATTTCATTAATCATTTGCCCTCTAAAGAGTTTTAAATGAAATACAAGGAGAATCCCTAGTGAACACTAATCTGACAGTAACACAATAATGGGACCTCAAGCTAAGAAAACATAACCTAAACTCTAGGAAAGCACTTAAATGGAATCTAATACATCAAAAGGAGTTGGATTCTAACATCCTCCCCCACTTAAGCTGTCGACGACCTCGTCGACTTACAAAAGTTACAATCAAAATTAGAAAACCCTAAACTATCTCAAGTTTCGGATGCGCCGTTGGTGCGGCTATCTTCTGGAATCTTATCTGACTCTTGAGCTGGATCTTCTTTGTTGACGAGGAGCTTGTCTCTGGAGTCGCTCGGCTCGAACATCTTGTTGAGAGCTTCATCTCTAAATTTCCTCCTGGGAGTGGAATCTGTTGAATTAAGGGGGACAGCTGCTTCCACCATCATCTGTTGGGGAGCTGCTTCCTTGAGACTGTGGTGGAGAGCTTCAAGTTGTGGCTGGTGCCTCTTGGGTGACCATTTTCTTTGTAATCCCTTGCACGCGCCCTGCGTTGTTTGCTCAACCACTGTTTTTCCTCCCTCTTGGGAGGTTCTTCTTTGGTGTCTCTTTGGTGTCTCTGGGCTCGTCGCTCTTTGCTTTGAACCTTGTGACTGATTCTGGTTTTGGCGGGTGTGTATCTGGGATGTTGCCAACTCCATGGGCTTCATCTCCCGCTTCTCTTGGTTTCTGGTGCGAGCTTGTTTCTTCGATGTTGCCTTCTTCTCAGGCTCCATCACTCGCATTGCCGAAAGATATCGGACTTCTGGTTCTTCTTGAGGTGCTATCATTCTCATAGCACTCAGGCGTCGTATGGAACCCATCCTATATGTGGGGTCCTCATCGCTGCTAGTCTCTTTTGTGGCCTCCTGAACGGACATGGATGACAATCTCTTTTGGATCTTGTCAAGTTCTTCTTTATGCTCGCAATCCCACCATTTGTGTGGACCTCGACAAAGTATGCAGTTTATTGCCCTTGTGTTTGCCGAGGATGCGCCGGCCCTCGAGTTTCCTGAGTTGTGGGAGGGGGTAGATGTTTGTCTCTGGGCATCACCTCCTCCACTTCTTCTATGATATGTATTAATGGTGTTGGACGATACTCGTGAGCCGTTCTCTGTACCCTTTGGAGAGCTTGGAGACGGACTGTTAGAGCGTGTTGACGTCCCACTTGAATCCTTCTCGGATTGACGACCCTTCCCGACTGAGTAGTCCATCAATCTCTCAGCAGCACACATAGCAGCAGCGAGGGTATCAATATTCTGCCTCAAAATCTCTCGCTGCGCCCATTCCTTTAGCCCGTTGACAAAGTTGAACACACGATCTTTCTCATTCATGTCTGTGATGTCCAACATTATCGCCGAGTATTCCTTAACATAGTTGCGAAGAGAACCCTTCTGGCGGCACTCTTGCAACTTCATCCGTGCAACAAACGCTGTGTTGACGGGGTAGAATTGTTCTTTGAGTTCCTCTTTGAACTCCGCCCATGTATCAATCTTGATCCTTCCTGCTTCGATGTCTGCGTGCTTGGTGCGCCACCACAGCTTAGCATCTTCGGACAAGTACATGATGGCAGTATCCACCTTCTGATCGTCACTTAGTTGACATATTCGGAAGTACTGCTCCATGTCGAAGAGGAAGTTATCAACTTCTTTCGCATCTCTAGCGCCACTGTAGTCGCGAGGTTTGGGCGGCTTTATCTTCGCCGCACCAACACCCAGTGCGTCTCTGCCCACAGCGCGCGTTAAGGTAGCACATTTCTCAAGTGCTTCGTCGGCTTTTCCTTGAACAAATTGCAATTGTTCGCGGAGGGCATCTCTGTCAGCCATCAATTTCACAATTTGCTCGGCTTGCTCGTGTACAATGACTTGGAGCTCGGCCCATTTGTCCGCCTTCTCCTCGTGCCAAGCGAGCCTTTCTTCTACGAATTCCATCTTCGTGTAGCCCTCCTTGGTGCCTACACGGGTTGCTTGCGACGAGGTTTGAGCCTCGGCTCTGATACCAACTGTCACGGTCCGGGAGTTTGGACCCCGAAACGTGCGGTGCGCTCTAGCCTTTTGGCGGCAAGAACGCTAGCCTTGAGCGGAAGAGGGGCTTGTGAGCACAAAGCAACACAAGCGGGCAATAGAATCTCAAGAGCACTCACGTCTATCTGGGCGACGGAGTGCGGGTGGTCGGGGCTTGTGACGGCCGATACTTCAAAGCGGGCACAAGCGGGTCCGAACCACGAGTCCTTAGCGCATCAAGTTGGGTTGGAGGGGAGCTAATATGCAAGTAAGACACAATATCTATAAAGGTCTAACAACAAACAAGCATAAAAGCAAGGCAATACTTGGTAGAAGGCTTTAAGATTTCATTAATCATTCGCCCTCTAAAGAGCTTTAAATGACATACAAGGAGAATCCCTAGTGAACACTGATCTGACAGTAACACAATAATGGGACCTCAAGCTAAGAAAACATAACCTAAACTCTAGGAAAGCACTTAAATGGAATTTAATACATCAAAAGGAGTTGGATTCTAACACAAAGGCTCTTCCTCCATATCTGATTACATGCGTTCTCTAAAAGAATGCGTTGATCACTTAGTTGCCCTAGGTAAACCGGTTGATCACGAGGACCTTATAGATCGTGTCCTTGCTGGCCTAGATGACTCTTATAAATCCGTTGTCGATTCTGTCAACAGTAGAGACACCCCTATCTCCTTTGAAGATCTTCATGAGAAGCTAATCAACAAGGAACTATCAATCTTGCAAAATCAAACAACCACAGTTTCCTCCCTCCCTGCTATTGGTTTTGCTGCATACACCAAGTCTAATCAACGTCCTCCTGCCAAAAACTCCTCTCAAGGCCTCCTTCCCACTCCCTCATCTCATGCGAAGCCCCCTCGTCCTTTTCTTGGTCGTTGTCAATGGTGTAATGAACAAGGTCATGTTGTTGCTAAGTGTCTTGTGTTCACTCGACAATTCCCATCTGTCTCCCCTCCCCCTCGTTCCTTTAACACACAGTCCCCACGTCCATCCCCTCCACCCCAAGCCAACAATACCCAACTCTCCTTGCCTACTTCTTCCACTCCTTGGTTATTGGATAGTGGTGCATCTCACCATGTCACCAATGATCTCCAAAATTTATCTCTTCATGCCCCTTATGATGGCACCGAGGAGCTATTAGTTGGTGATGGACCTTTCGACGGCGAAAGTGTTGCTTCAAGGGACAACTAGTCAAGGCATCTATCAGCTTCCTTCCCCAACTCCGTCAGTTTACACAAGCACGCCTTCCTCATCAATAAATTGGCATCACCGTCTAGGTCATCCATCTAGGACTATTTTTCAGCATATTATTTCACAAAATAAATTTAATGTTTCCAGTATTTCCATTATAGATTGTAATTCTTGTGCGTGCAATAAAAGTCACAAACTTCCGTTTTCTATCTCATCTATTAAGTCTACTGCTCCTCTTGAGTATGTCTATACTGATTTATGGACTTCTCCCGTCTACTCTCATGATAATTATAAATACTACTTTGTCTTTGTTGATCATTACTCTAAATATATTTGGTTATATGCCATAAAACAAAAATCCGATACAAAATCAATTTTTCTCCGATACAAAGCGCTAGTGGAAAAATATTTTCAACTTCCTCTAAAAACGCTTTATTCGGATAATGGTGGAGAATATCTCACTCTCCAACAACTTCTCACAATCGATGGTGTCTCTCACCTCACCACTCCCCCACATACACCTGAACACAATGGCTTTGCTGAACGTCGACATAGACATATCGTAGAAACCTTCCTATCTCTCCTTTCACATGCTAATATGCCCCTCACTTTCTGGTCTCATGCAGCCTCAACGGCAGCTTATTTAATAAACCGACTACCCACACCCACACTAAACAATGTCTCTCCTTATTTTAAACTATTCGGTGTCCAACCTAACTACACCAAACTACGTGCTTTTGGGTGTCTATGTTACCCTTGGCTTAAACCATACACAAATCACAAGCTTGATTCCAAATCAAAACCATGTGTGTTTATTGGCTATTCTCCCTCACAGAGTGCTTACTACTGCCTTGATCCATCCTCCATGCGCATCTACACTTCTCGCCATGTCACTTTCAATGAAGCTATATTCCCATACTCCTCTATGCCTACATCTCCATGTCTTCCATCTTCTGCCCAGCTTGATCAGTGGGCTCCTTTATCTATTCCCTCGCTTATTCGCAATCCCACTCCTCCCCCCACATCTAATCCCACGCACCCCCTGCCACCCACATCTCCCCACTCGCACCCCTCGCCAGCCTCATCATCCCTTCACAGGCTCCTATGCTATCTCAAGGGTACATCGAACATGGGCCTCACGTTACATAAAACGACCCCCATGACCCTCCATGCATACTCCGACGCTGATTGGGCCAGAGATACTGACGATTACATCTCCACCACTGCCTATATAGTGTACATTGGCAAGAACCCCATCTCGTGGTCCTCTAAAAAGCAGAAAACAAGGGCGAAGTCATCCACGGAAGCTGAGTATCGTGCTGTAGCTGCTGCTTCCAGTGAGATACTTTGGATACAAAATCTGTTGCATGAACTTCACCATCCAATGCCTTCAACTCCGGTCATCTATTGTGATAATGCAGGTGCGACATATGTTAGTGCTAATCCCGTCTTCCATTCCCGGATGAAGCATCTTGCACTTGATTATCACTTTGTTAGAGAGCATGTTCAGGCTGGCAAGCTAAGGGTGGCATACATGTCAACAAATGATCAGCTAGCTGATGTACTAACAAAACCGTTGCCTAAGCTCCAATTCACTACACTGATTACCAAAATTGGTCTATCATTACCACAGCCCATTTTGCAGGGGCGTGTTGGAGAATGATAAGTCTGGAAACACAGAGTTATCATTCTTCCTCTTCTCTTGTAATAAGTTTAATCATGTAATTATCTTTCCTAGATTATAGGCTTTATCTTTTCTCTTAATTATCTTTTGCAATCTTGTATTTTTATATATACCGTGTACAGCCTTTGTAAATGAAGAAAAGCAAAAATACAATTATAATTCCTCTATATTCTTCCCTTAATTTATCTTACACTGTGGTCCCATAAATCCCAGTGAAGCGCAATCCAACCTCTCCATTCGAATTTATTTATTTATTTAATTTAAAATTGTTTTCAAATACTTTACTACAAGTATGAATTTCAATTTTCAAGCATAATCACGAAATTTTAATTTCTTTCTTGTAATTCGAGTTTTTTATGCAAAAAACTTGAAATTTAAGCTTCTAGGTGTTCTTCTGGAATGATCTGCGAGTTTTTTCAGTTGAGCTAGTTGAATTAGTTGGTGGGTCCTTCAAATGAGTTGAAGATTGGGGGAGAAACACAATCGTATTTCTTGCTTCAACACAAATGGTAATTTCTAAGCCCCTTCATTTATTTTTATTAAATTAAGAAAAATTGGGAAATTTTAGTGACGAAATGATTGTTTTTGTAGGTTATTGAGCTCATTTGATTGATTTGGTTGGTGGGTTTAATAGTATAGGGTATGGTTGTGCTCAGCTGAATTCTTATCTTCCTTTGCCTGTGTTTCAAAACCTTCTCCTACTGCCTGACTTTCATTTGCCTTTGCCTGACTTTCATTTTGCTGAATTTTAGATAACTTTGTTGTCTCTTACATACTCACTCCTTTTTAATTGGGTAGAGATGGAGTAAGCAAAGACCAGTTTACTGTGTTTGCAGTGCTGGTTCTAATTATTTGTTCTTATTATGAAGTGAATCACTGATTCAATTGCATTTATATCAATCACAATTTTCTAAAAATTTGTAGGGTGGATTGATCAAAATTACTCCAGAAGTTTCTGATGCTCTATCTCGTGGAGCAGCTGTTTTTGCTTTGGAATCAACTATTATTTGTCATGGTATGTCATGTATCATTGCTTCGTACATTCGTCTTCTCGGGATTAAGGCTTTGATATTGTTGTTGTACATTATATAAATTTCCTTTTATTCAATTCTTAATTACTATAGTTGTTATAAATTGAAAGTGGAATTATTGTTACTAGCTAGGAAGATATTCAATTGATGTTCAAACTATGGCTTGTTTAAATGAAACTAAAATTGATAATGGTTTTCCAATTGTTCTTCCAATTGTATACATCTGGATTAAGCTTGTTAGCTGGCTGAACTAAGGTCTTTTCGAGCTATCGTGCAGCCGGTGACTAATGTAGCTAAGTAATTTGGGTTATTTCTTAGCGTTTTTGTGTACTTAGATGTGCAAGCTACACTCCAATGGAGTCACTGAGTTACTTTATGGATGGATAAAATGAAATGTAGGCAATTTTATATCGTTGAGTTCTATTTGGGTTATTGCTTATTATGGTTTGTTTATGATGATATTAGGAATGCCCTACCCTCAAAATTTTATAACTGCAAAGGAAATTGAAGCAATTGTGAGAGACAAGGAGCGATTCCTGCAACCATTGCTATATTGGTCTATTGGATGGAATTTCGTGTATAGGTGCCTATTTCCCAATCATTTGAATTTATTTTGTACCCTCACTCTTGTCTATAATGATTTTGCATTTAACTAGTCAGTTGATAATTTTTTGATGTCCTTTTATGTCTTTTCATGTTGATAATTGAACTGAATGTTTCATTATATTCAACCTGACATCAACGCTATCATGGAATATTTTATCACTGTTAAGCAAGCTGGAAAACTTTGAAGTGTTGTCTTTAGTCTCTGAGGTGACTTAATTCAAAATCAGGTCTCCAAACTGAAGCGTTGGAGAGGCTTGCTAAAACAGGAGCGCAAGTTTGAAAGACTACTCGTCGTGACATTGCTGCTATTGTAAGTGTACACTGCATATTTAGCATTATCTATGTAATTTACTTCACCCGGTGCCATCTACCTCTGATTCTTTATGTACATGATTGTTTCTGAACACAGCACCTTTGTAATTTTTTTTCTGTCAGAATCCTTGCTTTACTTTAGTCGTTGATACTAGAACTTGTGCATGGAAATCTCGTATGCAATCATATTTCAGTCCCTATTTTTTTTCAGACTCAGGTAGTGAAGGAAATGAATTTCTGTTATAATATTTGGAAGTTTTTAATTTGTTTTTGCACTGAGGTTGAAAGAAACTCTATTCCTGATGGAGTTACAGTGATATACTATGAAGCTGCATATGATTATTGCATTCCAGCATTGGGGGGCAGGGGGGGAGAGCTAGTTATAGAGTGATATTTATACTCTGTTAGAATACTTGGAAGTTTTTAATTTGCTTAAAATCATGTCGCACTTTCCTTTTGCATCTGTTCTATACAAAATGCTTCTAATTTATCTCACTTCTTCTCCTGGTTTCTGAGATCCTTTTTGAATGAAATTAAGCAGGTCCTCAGTGCTCGCTCTAGTAGATAATGAGAGAGGAGGAGCTATTTGACCAATGTGATAGTGCCTTTGTTTTTTTAGAATATGTCTACTAGTATTTCTTTATTTGTTTCAGTATTTCATTCTTTTTTTGTATAGCACTTTCTCCATATTTAATAAGGAGAGCTTTGTCTGTGGTTCGGGTTGGTGAAATCTTGGGAACATTAATCAAAACATTCAAGGCCTCCTTCTTATCCACCTTTGATGAGCTACCATCATACCTGACTCCTATGTGGGTAAGTGTATGTCTCGCTTAATATCAAGATTTGTATCTAAGAAAGCTGTTTGTGTCTATAGTATCTTGCAAGAGAGTAAGAGACCATGGTTTGTGTGGGCTAAGTTGAATAGCTTTAAACCAAGTGGCTTATTGCTCATATGCATTCATTCATGTTTTTATTTTCTTGCTTGTGATTAGTGACTTATCCCTCTCTGACAAACTTATATGTTTGAGATTGAAATCACTAATGAAATTTAACCTTGTTTAGTAGATTTGTTGGGGATGAATTGATTATTACTTTCTTGAGATGACTGAGTGTACCACAAATTGGCTCACTAATGATTGATGTACAAGACTGACCCTGCCACAACTGGACTCAAAAAAATAAATTTTGAAAAGGGAAATAAACCTGAAACCTGATTGTGCTTGAACCCTAATTATTAGAACTCAATTGGTCCATTCTGATTATCATGTGAAGAACGAGTATATTACTGCACATAAAGTTGCATAGTTAGAAGGTAATGTTGTGCGTTTGGCTCATGTTTGGTTATGTATTTGGTTTGCAAGCATATCAAGGTAGTGTGATATTTAGTAATCACTTATCTCTATAATAATCATTCACTTGGTTCATATTAAGTGTACGTACATCTTTGAGGTAAATTAGATTACCTACAACTTTTTCTTTTTCTTTTTTTTTTTTTGCCTTTCTTTTATTTTCCCATCAGCTTGTTAATTATAAGTATTTTGTTTATTGTTATAGCTACTAGTACTGCACTACTGCCACTATCAATACGTTGTCGATGCTGCCACTGTCCATATGTTGCCGATACTGCCACTGTTTTATGTTGTCGATGCTGCTGTCCAAAATTGATGTTGCTGTCCAAAATTGATACTGTTGTCCAAAATTGATGTTGCTGTTTTCATTTGTTGCATAGGCTGCCAGCCTTATTTGTAAATTTTTCTTATTTGTAAATATATAGTTTACATTGTATAATTACAATAAGTTATATGAAAATGGTTTCTTTTATGTATATGTTATACAACCATCATTAATTAAGTTTTAAAAATGCAAAAAAAAAAAAAAAAAAAAAAATTAAATAAATAAAAAATATTTAACTTTTTATTTATTTATTTAGGCCACTTAATGCTACAGTTTAGACAAAAAACCGTAGCATAAAATAGCAAAAGGCTATGGTTTTTTGGAAAATTCTAAGCAAATAATGCAAAAACGCTACGGTTTTTTAAGAAAACCATAGCAAAAAACTCAAAATTTCTACGGTTCAAAACCGTAGCAAATAGTTTTCCTTATTCGCTACGCCCACTAGTTCTACAGTTCAAAACTGTAGCAAATACCCCTAAATAAACTGTAGCAAGTGTCATTTTTTCTACTATTTGATTGATAATAATAAATTTACATTTGCCTTAATCAAAACTTACAATGAATGAAGTCAGATGCAATGGAAGAATAATAAAATAATCGTTGAAAACACAAATCCGCAAAACTAAAACTGCAATGAACACGAACTGTTATGTGCCGTCACTAAAAAACGTGTATCGTGCCACAATACTTGCACTGTGTCGCGGTACATGTACTGTGTCACGATACTTGTACCGTGTAACGACACTTTGTGCCGTGGCGCGGTACTTTGAGTCGTGATGCGGTACTTTGATGTTATTGCGGTACTATTCTGTCGGCGCGATTTTGATGACGAAGGATGGATTTTAATTTTTAAAGTGGTCGGGCCCCCTTGAGGGTTTGCCTACGTATCCATTAAAAGGAATTAGGCCAAACGTAGCTCTATTGGGCCTTGTGCCCATGCAATTAAGCGTAAAACTTCTTAAGTTGATCCAAATTGGTTAGACTATAGAAATCATTGCCATCTATGTATACTAGCTACGCCGCTCCACTGGATAGGATTAACTTGACGATGTACGGGCTGGACTAATTTGGCCTAAATTTTCCTCTCAGATCCATCACTTTTTTACGAAGTGCTTTTAGTACCAAGTCGCCATCTTTGATATGCCTAGTCTTGACTTTTTTGTTGAAGTGACGTGTCATACGCTTTTGGTAGGTTTGGACATGATGCAAAGCTTCAAAGCGTTTTTAGTCAAGCATGACTAACTCATCATATTGTGCTCTAATCCAATCGACTTCGTCTAATTGACTTTCTAATACAATTCGTAGAGAAGGGATGTCTTGCTCAATTGGTTGTATGGCTTCAATTTTGTAAACTAAGGATAAGGGAGTGGCCCCCGTTGATATACGGACAGAAGTTCAATAACCCCAAAGAGCGAAATGTAGTTTGCTTGGCCAATCTTTGTAATTTTCCGTCATTTTTTTATGATGGTCTTTACATTTTTATTGGCTGATTCTTCCGCACCGTTAGTTTGCAGTCAGTAAGGTGATGATCTGTGATGTTGAATTTGATATTTCTTTAATAGTTCTTCACACAGAGCTTGGAAATGCAAAACATTGTCACTAATCATCTCATGTGGGACACTATAGCAACATATGATTTTCTTTTCAATGAGTTGAGCTACATGCTTTGCTGTGAGCTTAGCATATAAGGCCGCCTCGACCCATTTAGTGAAGTAATCAATTGCTAGATACAAGGATGAACTCGTGGAACTAGTGCTGGTGGTGTTATTTTCCGAATGATGTCGATTCCCCAAGTAGAGAAAGGCCATGGAGAAGTATATGTGTAAAGAAGCGATGGTGGAACATGTTATAGATTTGCATAGAGTTGACACTTCATACATTAGTGACCATCCTTTTCCATTGTAGTCCACTAATATCCTTGTCAGATTATTTTCTGAACTAGCATTTTTGCATCCATGTGCGTTCCACATATTTCGGCATGAAGGTCATCCACTATTTTGTGTGCTTCTTTCTTGGCTATGCATAGGAGATTTCTTCTTAGTGGGGTCCCCTTGTGGAGTTCTCCCCTAATAAGCACGTATTGTGAGGCAAGGAGTCTCAAAGCACGACGTGATCTTTTATCAGTGTTGGGAGGGTATTCACCTTTTGTCACATAATTGAGAATATCTGTGTACCATGGCTCTTCATCTTCTTCTTGTGGATCTTGTTCATCAACAAGTGTATGAACATATGATGGCTCATATCTTCATTCTATGGTTAATGGCATTCAGGTTGTATCCCTTAGGATTCGGACCATTGAAGCTAACTTTGCTAGTGCATCAGCGAACTGATTTTCTTCCCTTGATAGATAAGTGTATTCAACCTCGTCTAGTTGCTCAGTGAAAGTTTCTAGATGAGCTTGATACGTAGCCAGACTTTCACTTCTTACCTTCCATCTTTAAGAAATTTGGTTGATGATTAGTGAAGAGTCACCATAGATTCGTAACTTCTTGATTCCCAAAGCAACAGCAGTTTCTAAACCTAGAGTACATGCTTCATATTCTCCGGCGTTGTTGGTGACATCAAAATCAAGCTTCATAGAGATTGGAATATGTTCTTCATTGGGCGATATGAGTAAAACTCCTACACCACAACCTTTTTATTTGATTCTCCATCGAAATAGAGCGTCTAACTATCGTCCTCGGTCATGAGTAACTCTTCATCAGGAAAACCATATTCTTCTTCAGTCGTCTCAGGCTCTTTAAGTGGGAAATCGGCTAAGAACTCAGAAACTGCAGAACCTTTGATAGGTTTTTGTGGTATGAACTTTAAGTCGAACTCAACAAGCGTGACTATCCACCTTGACAATCTTCCGTTGACACTAGCCTTCTCGAACAAATATTTGAGAGGATCCATCTTTGACACCACATGCACTGTATGAGTGAGCATATAATGTCTTAATTTCTTTGCGACTCACATGAGTGCGAGGCACAATCTCTCGAGTGGTGTATATCGAACCTTGTAACCTTGAATCTTCTTACTCAAGTAGTAGATTGCATTTTTCTTTGCTTTCTATATCTTGCGCACGCAATCCCCCCATCGATTCTCTTGTAACTGTAAGGTAAAGTCGAAGAGGAATGTTAGGTATTGCGGGTGCTAGCACAGGTGGATTAGCCAAGTATGTCTTGACCTTGTCGAAGTCTTTTTGACATTCATCATCCCATGTAACTGGAACATTCTTCTTGATCTTATTGAACATAGGTTCGCATAACATAGTGATCGAGTTTGGATATGAACTTGCTTATGTATTGCAACTTTCCAATGAAACCTCGAATCTCCTTTTTGGTCTTGGGTGGTGGCATGGACATGATTGCCTTGACCTTTTTGGGATCTATCTCGATTCCTCGATAACTGATCACATAGCCATGGAGCTTGCCTGATTTAACTCCAAATGCACATTTTGCTGGATTCAATATCATGTTGTACTTACAAAGTCGTTCAAAGAATTTGCGAAGTGCAATTATATGGCCTGGTCGACCTTTTGATTTGCAATCATATCATCAATGTAGACATGTACTTGTTTGTGCATTATATCATGTAATAATGATGTTGCTGCTCTTTGGTAGGTGGCACCCGCGTTTTTCAACCCGAATGGCATCACCGTATAGTAATATGTACCTTATCGCGTGATGAATGTGGTCTTTTTCATGTCTTCCTCGGCCACTTTGCGTTATTCAGGACTTAGCGTTAATCCAATTTTAATCTATTTGAGGGTATCATCATTAGAAATATTAAATGTTTTTGTATCTTTGATTACTGCAGTTTTATCATCGTGTTCTTCCATTGCCTTTATTATTTCTTTGTCATTTTCATCATTAGCAAAGCAATATTGATCAGGGTTAGGGGAATGAAGCATCGTAAAAAAAAGCACTCATATTAGAGGGAGAGGTCAGCTGTGACCTCACCAAGATTATTACGGATAAGTGGGGGATCGGAGACTCGACAAGAGACTCGACACTAGGAGGAACTACAGAAAAATATTCAACGGCAAGGAGGGGTTTAGTCCTAGACTCTACAGACTCAAAGATGGACTCGGACTCAGACGATTCAGATTCATCGAACATGGAGCCTTCGCCGGTAGTGATTTCCAACTTTTCTCCACTTGGAGTAGTGATCTTTACAGTCTTGCGCCACATTTTTAGAACACCTTTTGTTGGGACAATGAGTTCAGTAGGGTTAAAGTCCTTTATTGAATGACATCTTGGATGAGCGCAGAGTCGTCATTGTTGATGCGCTTAGGTTCGTTCCTCTTGAGCCCAATGAGAAGGTCAATAGCCATATCATTGAAGCATGGAGGAGTAGGTTCCCTAGCAGTGGGTAAAGGAATGCTTTCATCGATGAAATCGCAATCCATGAATGAAAGACTTCAAATCTTGGTTCACGCCTTCCATCATGAATGGAAGCTTCAAGAAATTCATAACATGGATAGTCTTCACCTTCGTTGACAAATTGACCATTAAGAGTGGGTAGGGACCATGGGCATTTCCCTATTCATTATGTGAGCTGTGTTGCGAGCCACTATCTTGAGCATAGCTTACTTCATATCTTCCTTCGTTGGTTTGAACCCCAAGAGGTATCCTTCTTGGATGCCCCAGGATAGGCCTAAAATTCATCCATTTTCTTTTTGATGCCATGGGTTATTCCAAGAAAATGCCCTTGTTTCTTCATAATTGCATTGACATGAAGATTGGAGTAGGCATCAAAGTCAAGATGGGACTTATCCTCCTCCTCGATTATAGCAATGTCTTCCAATGAAAAGCCCCAAAGATCTTCGTCTTCCTCATCATGCTCAACATGAACAATGGGGGTATTGATTACTTGGATGCGCATAGGAGAGGCATCAATGGCAACTGGAATTCCTCCAACTATTACTTTAACTTTATGATGTAGCGAAGCAGGAATCGCCTTTAACTCATGATGCCAAGGGCGTCCTAGAAATAAGTTGAATGAAACTTGATGTCCACCACTTGGAAATTGGTGCGACGCTCAATAGCTCAAATAGTGATGTTTAGTATGATAGTAACCACGGCTTGAGTGCGAGTATTATCATAAGCTCAAATCCCTTGAAGGGAGTTAGCTCCTCATCCTTTATGCCAAGATTCTTTGCAGTTT